CTAAAGATCTAAGCATCTTTTGATACGTTAGTATAAAAAGCATATTTTATTCACCACTAATATTTCCTCTTCATTGAGTTATCTGCTCAAGGATTTGGTCATTTTGCAATTAGATTGTCAGTGTTTGTTTCTTTACTAATTTCTAGGAGTTCTTTATACATTCTGAACATTAAGATTTTATGTTCTAGAAATATATTCTCCCAATTTTTTCCTTTCCTTTTCACTTCCTCTTCTTTTTATAGCTTTCTACCCTTTATTTTCCCATCATGTCATGATAAGACCTCCAGCAACAATGGCTATGGAAATAGTACTAGTAAGCACCCTTGTCTGTGTCTGTTCCTATTTTACGCGGGGATTTTTTAAGTCTACCTTACTGAAAATTATTTTTTTTTTTACTAGAGACTTTTTATCAAATCAAGGAAATTCTCTTCTAGTCCCAGTTTCTGAATTTTTATTATGATGAGGTATTAAACATTATTAAGTGATTTATTTTCTCCATCTAAAGAATCTACATATGAATTTTCTCCTGTATTTTGCTAATGTGGTGAATGACATTTATACTTATGTGAAACTACCATTGCATTTCTGAAATAAATTCAGATTTATAATTGAGTTTTACCTTTTAAAACAATACATTTCCAAAGTCAAATTTCCAATAATTCTGTTTAAGATTTTAACATGTATTTTAATGAAAAAAAAAATATAATTTTCTTCACATACTCTTGGTATTAGGGTCTACTGACCTTATTGAAATGATTTGAAGAAATAATTTTTTTCTAGTCTTTTGAAGAGTAGAATGACATGATCCTTAGAAATTTAGTTTAAGAGAATTGAGCTCTAAAACCATTTGGGTCAGTTGTTTTTCTCCATGGGAAGATTTTAAATCATTGATTACCAAACTGAATAGTTATAGTATTATCAGGCTTTGTATTTCTTCCTGTGTTTTGATGAATTATATTTTTCTAGAAATTTGTCAATTTCTTATAAGTTTTCAAATTTACTGGTACAAAGTTTATCAGTACTCTTTTAATATTCAATCTTTATTATTTTATAGCGGTATCCACTTATTTATTTCAGTCTTATTTATTTATGCCTTGTCCTTAATTTCTTATTTACTATCCAAATGGATTGTCTTTCTTAATCTTTCAAAGTTTCAACTTCTGATTTCTTTAATCTCTGCTTTTGTCTTTCCTAATTTTAATCTACTTTTGTTTATTCTAACATTCCTTTTCTATTTTAAGTTAAATGCACAGCTCAATTTTCAGTTATTATTCTTTTTTTAATATAAGTATTTTTAAAATTTCCCTTTAAGTACCAATTTCATTGCATCCAGAAAAATTTGATTGGTGGTATTTTCATTATCATTTACTTGTGAACATTTAAAATTTCTATTATTTCTTCTTTATCCTCCTGATTATTTAAAAGAATGGATAACTGAATTTATTTCTAAGTTAACAGCATTTTGGTCAGAAAATTTTGAGGGCCGGAAAATGACGCTGAAATGTGTTAATCTGTGCTTTGTAATCTAGTACAAGTTCGGTTTTTATATGTTTGTGTATTCCAAAGAATGCAGTGCTCATTAAACCATGCTTAAATGAGTTGTTAAAATATGCTAAAGATATATGAATTTTTTTAGATCCATGAATTATCAGTAAATGAGAAACGTATTTAAACATTTCCCAATAGTAAGTTTGTCAATATTCTCTAGTTTGGTCAAATTTTGATTTATTGTAAGTCTATTTCATTAGAAGTATTCAAATTAAAATTGCTACATTTTACTGGTAAATTGGACTTATTACATAATGACTCTCATGCTCCCCAATAATGCTTTTGTGTCTTTAAGTCTACTTTGCTAATGTTAATATAACTACCATTTTCTTTTAGTTAGTATTTGCCTGAAATATCATTTTCTACCCTTTTATTTTCTTTCTTTCTATTTACTTATGCTTTTTGTAAACAGCATTTAACTTAAAGAAAACAAACCGCTCTGAAGCTTTTATAAGCAGGGATTAGGCAATTTATATTTATTGCAGGACTTGTTTCTATATTCTATGTTTTTCATCTCTATTTTCTGCTGTTTTTATGCTTTTTTCTCCCATTCTTTCCTTTTATTCAAATTGACTTTAAGTGTTCTTTTGCACACCTTGATTCCTTTCTTTCCTCCTCTACAGGTTTCCAGTACATATACCTTATAGTGGTTAACCTTGAAATTTTACCATACAAATTTAAACTACATCAAAAGTTAACTTTCAATCCTCTCCCAAACAATACATTTCACCTCTGATCTTCTCCTTAACAACTTAAGTATGATTGTTGTCCAGTGTTTTAGTTCTGTACTTCTCACCTCCCACTTTTATTTTTTTAAACAAATTAGTGTGTTTTATTATTATAGGATATCAATGCAAGTAGCTGATGATTTACAAATGTGTTTTTGTTTATACCCATATAATATTTATATTTAATTACAATCTGGGACATTTTCCTTAAACTTGAAAGTTAAATATCCAGTTGCCTACATGCCATTTACACTGTATGTCTGTCCAAATGTCACTTAAAACTTCCAAAGAGTTCCTACTTCCCAGTTCTCTCCCCAGACTTCTCCATCTCAGTCAGTGACATTAGCATCTACCCAATGCTCAAACCAAAACACCCAGCCATAATTGACTGATTCCTCCTTCATCTTACACCTAATTCATCCTTTTATTTATATCTCAAAAATATTCTCAAACCTCTTTTCTTTACTTAATCCTCACTTATTATCCCCTAGTCCAAAACCAGATTTACCGCTTCCCCCGTTTAACTTTAATCCCTTTCCAATTCAATCTCCATGAAACAGCTAGAGTGATCTTTTAAAAATGTGTGTCAGATCAATGACTTCTCCAGTTAAAATTTCACTGATCTCTGAATAAATTCCAGATGCTGTATGTCCTGCATAGTCTGGTTCCTGAGCACTTCATCTCATTCACTTCAGCTACACTATCTTCATACATACAAAGCCCTTTCCTTTTCAGTGCCTCTGCTCTGACCTTTGTTTCTGCCTAGAAAGCTCTTCCTCAACTGCTAATTCTTATCTTTCAGATCCCAGCTCAGAAGTCATTTTTATGAAAGTCCTCCCTGAATGTAGGCCCCTATCAGTTACTTTCTATCAAATTAGTGTTTTATTTCCTTCAGACTAAACATCACAGTTTGTATCATGTTTGTATCTTATTATTTGTCTCTCCCACCATAATGTGAGCTTCACAAGGGAATCTTCTTTTGTCTTGTTGACTGATATATATTCCTGGGAACCAGCACAATGCTTAGCACATATTAAATGCTCAATAAATATCTGCTGAATGAATAGATAATTACTACCACAAATTACATATGAAACAATAGTATTAGTAAATTAAGTAATAGTGATTAAAGATGACAGAACATATAATCTGGAAGAGCAAAAGACTCCACCTCAACCTACCAATGTGTCAAAAGCAATTATATTTGTAAATTTCTTTCTTTACAGATTTTCTAATATGTTTTACTCCCAGATTTTCTTACAGAATTCATCTCATGCTGGAAATTTATACCCTTTGAGAAATACTAATTTTAATATTAGTCTAAGCTGAAAGATTTTTCCTAAGAAAACATATTCACCAAAATCGATCCCATGAGACTAAATATTAGAACCAACTAATTATCATAGAAAAAAATTAAAATGATCACAAAGCTACTCCATCACCAAGCTAGGTTTCACAAACAAATACTAACAACATTTAAAGGAATAAACAAGCTATTTAAATAAGAAGCTATTTAAACAACTTTAAAGGAATTTATAAGTTATTTAAAGGTATAAATAATCTACTTAAACACCAAGAATTCAAAAAGAAATAAAGAAAACATAATCTTTTAGCAAAGTATCAAATTGTTATCAAGACAAAAAAAAACTAGCAACAATTCGCACAATGGCTCTCAATATTAAAATCCTATGTAAAATATTAGCAAACAGAATCCAGCAGTTCACTATAATGAGAATAAACCATGATTATGTGATCATGTTGAGTTTATTTCATGAAACAAGGGCAATTAAATATTAAGAAATACAGTAGCCCTAACCGGTTTGGCTCAGTGGATAGAGTGCCGGCCTGCGGACTCAAGGGTCCCAGGTTCGATTCCAGCCAAGGGCATGTACCTTGGTTGCGGGCACATCCCCAGTAGGGAGTGTGCAGGAGGCAGCTGATCGATGTTTCTCTCTCATCGATGTTTCTAACTCTCTATCCCTCTCCCTTCCTCTCTGTAAAAAAAATCTATAAAATATATTTAAAAAAAAAAGAAATACAGTAAAAGAATTATTCTTTAAAAGTGAATAATCTTATGATAATTTCCACTGATGCTAAAAAGACTTTAATAAAATTAGCAAGCATTCTTGCTAGAAATCTATAAAATAACGGAGGTACTTCCTTAGTGCAATTAAAAAAAAGTGTGTGTGTGTGTGAAATCAACCTAAAAGCCAGAATCACTCTTACTGTGGAAATAACTAGAGCAAGGGTTGGTAAACTGTGGCCCATAGGTTATTTCTAGCCTGTCACTCACTGGTTTATATAATTAAAATCTTGTTGCAAGACAGCTATACCCATTCATTTACTCATTGTCTATGGCTACTTTTACACTACAATGGTAGAATTGAAAATATTTGCTATTTGGCATTTCACAGTATATAGCCACTATATAGCAATTATAGCTCTAATTCACTCATACCTAACTCCATCAAAGTGATCTTTTCAATGACCAAGTTTTCTTTAGTAAAGCGAAGTAGAAACACATACTGTATTTTAATAGAAGGTACTGAAATTGCCTGTATTTTCAATTTGACTGTTCTTTGTAACACACTAAAACCATAATGAAAAAAATCAGTAGGACCTACTGGTCCTACACAGGGCTTGTAAATGCATTTAATAGCATACCCAACATCTGAATGTGATACATAGCATTCTTAAAACAATAGATCTCAATGTTAAACATACCCTTCCTGAAGAGATAATTCTTGGTTTTCTTCAGGACTACTGCTATCACTGTGTAGTCCAGGTTCATTTTCATCTTTTCCTGGTAGAGTCTCCCAACTTTCATCACTTGAGGACTGATCTTTTTCTGTACCAGAAAATCGATGAGGCAAAGAAGCAGACCATTCTCCATCACTGCACTCTGAACTGGAAATTTAGAACAGAAAGAAAATAAATTGTCATTATATGGCATGTGCATTTATCATTTGGAGTGTTAACCAGGCATCATGGTATAGACTACTGATGTCACACATTCTTCATCAGCTGCTAATTTTTTTTTCAGCTGCTAATTTTTAAAATGAATAAATAAATATATTCAGCAGAATGTAACTCTTTTTATATCCTCACCTGAGGACATGCTGAGAAGGAGGGGAGGGGAGAGGGGAGAGAGGAGAGAGACCGAGAGCGAGAGCGAGAGAGCGAGAGAGCGAAACCGAAACCTAGGGTCTGTGCCCTGATGGAGAATTGAACCAGCAACCTTTTGGTGCAAGGGACGATGCTCCAACCGAGTCACTCCAGCTGGGCAGAATGTAACCTTCTCAAATGAAGGTAGCATATGGCACGGCAAGTTATGAAATTATTAATTTATTAGTTTCTTCATGGAAGTATGTAATTCCATGGTGCCAAAATATAGATTCTTCATATTTTAGACATATTTTTAAGTAAAAATTTAAACTTAACTTGGTAATTATAAGTTAAATGCTATATAAAATAAATAATGATAGATTTATTATTCACCTGGCCTGATTAAAACAACTTTCTAATTAAAACAACTGTCTAAACATGATGAAATGTCTTCTATGAATAAATTTCTACTATTATCATGTTTTAGAAGCTTAACTATTTTTTCCTTCCTTTTTCAGACTTTAAAATGAAGATACATTCAAAGTCATATAAAGTAGCACTGACAAATCTTTAGTGAAGTTTTTTGGTAGGACTATGAACCCAAAATATATTTCAACTCAAGAGAATATTTAGGTAAGAAACCAAAACATATGATAAGGGGTTAATAATGAACCTCAGAAAATTATTTTATTGGTTATATTTAACCTTGGTTAATCTAGTTACATTTAACTACTCTTAAAAGCACCAGTCATACTACCAAAGGCAAAAATATTACTTACTGATGTTAAAAAAAAAATCAAAGGGCCAAAAATTAATCCTCTTTAAAAGTATGTTCCAGAAATTAATATGCATTTGTGATACAAGTGGTAGAAAGTAATACATGAACAATTTTCTATTAGTATTTCATTCTGAACATTATGACAAATTTCAAACTTAAGGTCTATCTATACCAGCCGTGGGCAAACTACGGCCCGCGGGCCGGATCCGGCCCATTTGAAATGAATAAAACAAACAAACAAAAAAAGACTGTACCCTTTTATGTAATGATGTTTACTTTGAATTTATATTAGTTCACACAAACACTCCATCCATGTTTTTGTTCCGGCCCTCCGGTCCAGTTTAAGAACCCATTGTGGCCCTCGAGTCAAAAAGTTTGCCCACCCCTGATCTATACTAATAAAGAGCTAATATGCTAATGGTCGGGATGCTGTAACGTGTAACGACCGGACTATTAGCATATTAGCTGGGCTAAAGTGGGGAGGTGCCCAGAGGAGGCGGGACCATCCCATGCCAGGGAGGGCGAGGGTGAGAGCCCATAGCGCCCCCCCTCACCAGTCCTTCTCCACCCACCGCTCGAACTCAGAGCGCCCCACGGCCCACCTGCCAGGGGAAGGAACACAGCACAGCAGGCAGGAGGCTTCCAGGCTCTCCTCCAGCACCATGACAGGGCAGAGCCGCCGAGTTCCTCTGGAGACGGTGTAAAAGCAGGGAGGCGCCCAGAGAAGGCGGGACCATCCCAAAGTGACTTGAGGGACTGAGGGCAGGGCTTGAAGTGGCCAGAGAAGGCCAGAGGGTTTGGGGGCTGGGCCAGGCACACTGGAGCTCTGCGTGGACAGGTTCGGGTGTCAAGGCAGGGCTGCAGGTGGGTGGGCGGTGCTATGCAATTTCACACGCTGGGCTCCTAGTTATTAAGTTAAAAGTCCAAATTGGCTCAGATGGAGCTAGTCAGAGGAGCCTGTGTAACTCTGATTACTTTTTTTTTTTTACTATAAGAAAACAAAAACAAACAGAAAACAAAGAACCTACCACAGGCAATTTCCTTACCAAAGAAACAAAATACTATATTTATATATTTTACATCAGGTGAAAGTTCTATCTATGACAGCCTCTTTTTACCCCTGGTAGTGGAATGCCACATTGCTAAACACAAGCTTTGAAGTAAGAAGATTTAGGTTAGGATCCTGGCTCAGTACTTACTAATAATATAAGCCCAGGCATTTAACTTCCTTAAACTCACTTTTCCTCATCTGTAAAATGAGAAAATTAATATTTACTTTTCAGGGCTATAGTAATGTTTAAATGAATACTATAGATAAAATGGCTAGCACAATTTTTGGAAAAGGGTAAACATTTAATAAAGGTGGCAGTTACTTTCTTCATTATATAAGCTGTTTGCTAGACCTTTCATTTGGATTTCCAACCAGCACACCACCATTTTTCTGTTTTCTATACCTAAGAAAGTCTATATCCTCTGGTTTGTCTTACTAAATGGTAGTATCAGCCACGTGGTTATCCAATTAGCTTTCATTTTAGTCTCTACACCAGAGGTCAGTAAATTCTGCCCTGGCCCATGAGTCAAATCTAGCCACCTGTCCATTATTTTTATGAGCTGGAAGCTAAGAATGGTTTTTGTGTTTTGTTTTTCATGTTAAAATGGTTACAAAAGTGCCTACACAATATCCTCGCTTTATCTTTTGGTCCACAAAGCCTCCAGGGGTCTGGAGGAGACATAGGTCGATGGAAGAGAAACTGTGGAGCAGGAAAGGGTGAGTGAGCAAGCTCAGTAGTAGCACTGTAGTAAAAGAAAATGAATACGGAAAAAAGTCACCTGACTGTGGAAATCAGGTAACTGTTAACATTACAGAATAGACAAATAATACTGAGAAATAGATTTGGAGGTGTTTAAGAAGAGTGGGTAGCTATGAGTATGGAACATTTACTCTGAAAAGTCAGCAATGAAAGAGAAAAACAAAAGGGCAAGTAGTTAATAGAGGGAGCAAGATCAAGTGAAGGTTTTCCCCAGACTTAGAAAAACTGGTGAATGGGAGTTGGAGGGGAGCAACCTAGGAATAAGGTTAATAGATAAGTAAGGTGTCAGATATGACTGCAGGTACAGAATGAGACAAGTTACCTCTCTTCACTAAAAAAATTGAAAATAGAAATACTGAGATATTCTAATATAAGGAAGAGGAAAACAAGAAAGTTCATGGTTAACTATTTCAGTATCTATAGGAAAGCAGGAGACAAAGTTATCTACTAAAGAGTGACAAGAGTGCATAAAACTAAAAGCAAAAAGAGAAAGAATTTAAAAATAAGTTTTCAAAGAGAATAAGCAACAGAACAAATAGGATATGAAATAATTGTGGGTTAGAGGACCATTTGTTCTTGATTATAAAAACACATGAGTTAAAAATTTAAATTCTCAAAAGAAAAACTAAATTAAGTACCAGTTTAATTTTCATACACTCTAGTACTGTCTCCAATTAACATTTAGAGCTATATTAAAAAGCAGACCACTATAACTTATTACAATGTTACACTTTTTACACATTCAATTGTGACCCAAAAACTTTTTTCACATATGGAATGAAATTATGTGATTTCTAAACAAATAATTTATGTACAAATCATAGCTAGAAATAAGATCTAGAAGTAAAACCAACCAAAAGCAACTTCTTCACAAAATCCCTCAAGGAACTGGTTAGTTTGTCTTCCTCTATACAGTGGTCGGCAAACTCATTAGTCAACAGTACAACGATTGAAATTTCTTTTGAGAGCCAAATTTTTAAACTTAAACTATATAGGTAGGTACATTGTTATTAACTTAATTAGGGTACTCCTAAGGCTTAGGAAGAGCCACACTCAAGGGGCCAAAGAGCCGCATGTGGCTCGCGAGCCGCAGTTTGCCGACCATGGGTCTAGGACATTTCACCACTGTTAACATTTAACTATATTGTAATAGAGTGATACATATAGAGTTGTTTAAATATACAAGCCTGCTTAATTTAGTAAATAAGGCCCAAAGTGGTATCTTTTTTGAATTGTACCTCCTTTCTACAACTTTCTGGTTCTTTCCCTTAATATCAGAATATTATAATCTGTAACCCCTAGCATGCCTGTAGAACAGTGGTTCTCAACCTTCCTAATGCCGCAACCCTTTAATACAGTTCCTCATGTTGTGGTGACCCCCAACCATAAAATTATTTTCGTTGCTACTTCATAACTGTAATTTTGCTACTGTTATGAATCGTAATGTAAATATCTGATATGCAGGATGTATTTTCATTGTTACAAATTGAACATAATTAAAGCATAGTGATTAATCACAAAAACAATATGTAATTATATATGTGTTTTCCGACGGTCTTAGGTGACCCCTGTGAAAGGGTCATTCGACCCCCAAAGGGGTCGTGACCCACAGGTTGAGAACCGCTGCTGTAGAACAAAGCTGTTTATCCCTAATTTAATCCTAAACTTTTATGAACTTGGAAATAAGATGAAAAGGTGTGCTAAAATGTTAGAGTGTGTGTTTTAAGACCTTTGTCTTGGCTGCTCATAGATACTTTATTTGTCTCAATACAGGAAGATCAGAGATCTTTCTTCATGGCTCTGACCTAACCTATATAGAAGAGGAAAGGAGTTTAATTTAGTCTCATGATAATTACCGATACATCTTGTCTTCTTCATTAGGATGGTGAACACCAAGGAAACAGAAATAATGATCATTTGCATTTACAGAATACCCAGAACAAAGTCTGACACTTAGGAGGATTTCAATAAATCTTTTTTGAATATATCAAATTGAAATAAACTAAATAGCTAATACTCTTTTTATTCTCCCAATATCAACAACAAAAAAAGCTGTCACAATATTTTTGTCTGAGGTAAGTTTTTTACCTTTTAAGCAAGGTTAAATAGGGGCAGAAAAAAACTGTGAAAGAAACCTCAAGTGCTATAAGAAATGGTTAGGAGAACAGTTAGGCCCAAGGTTAAAATGTACTGACATGGCTAAAAGGTCCTTTTAAACTCAAGATCTCAACAGTTATTAAAGTTCTCAGGGTTTATTTCAAAAAAGCAGGATATTAACCTTAGCTCTTTGGTCTAATTCCAAGTCTGGTAATTATATGCTGCCTATTAAAATTCCCCTTACAGTTCTAATTTAATAAGGTGGTGCTCAGTTCCTGTCAAACAGCTCAGAGCAATGCTACCAGCTGCAGTGCTTTTCCCATAGATTGTAATGTTTCAGATGTGATTAAGTGATCATTCAAATTTTTCAGGGAAGAATAGGGTCATGCATTCATTAACCCTTTTCGGTCCAACGTGGAGGCTGACTCAACAGACCAGGCGCTAGGAGCAGGTCCAACGTCGAGGCTGAGGTCGACACCGAAAACCAGTTCAACATTCAATCTCATCAATTAATTTGGACCAGACTGTTTGAATTCCAAAAATAAAATTGGACTGCAAAGGGTTAAAATGCCTTTCCACTGATAAAGAATATATACGTTTCTAAAGTGGCCAAAATTTCTGTATCTATACATATATCACAGTAAATTTTAGTTATACTCTTGATAAGGGAGTTCAATTTATAACTGTTATAATACAAACGTAAAATATTTTTCAAGTACATCATCTATAAGTTTTACAAAACATTGAACACTCAAAAAAAATTATGCAGATTCAAAGCAGTAGCTATTTGTACTTTCTTTCTCAAAACACTTATGGTAGAGTGACTGTGTTCCCCATTTCTCCAAACTGCTAATATCAGAACTGAGCAGGACTACCGTAAAACATCAGGTAGATGAACAGTTGGCAAAATGAAACTAAACAGGAGTTACAACTATTAAATTTCAATCTTTATCTCGCATCATATTAAAGGCATCTGGCAACTGTGATCCTTTGCAGGGAGCAAGGGCAGAGGAACTGAAAACACTAAGATAGAAATAGAATTCCTCGTTAAAATTGTAGTGACTACTGAAATGAAGTCCTAAAACATATCTTAAGATTTATAAATGAGCCCTAACCGGTTTGGCTTGGTGGATAGAGCATTGGCCTGCAGACTGAAAGGTCCCAGGTTCGATTCCAGTCAAGGGCATGTACCTTGGTTGTGGGCACATCCCCAATAGGGGGTGTGCAGGAGGCAGCTGATCGATGTTTCTCTCTCATTGATGTTTCTAACTCTCTATCCCTCTCCCTTCCTCTCTATAAAAAATCAATGAAATATGTTTTAAAAAAGACTTATAGATGAAAATATAAGTGGAATCCTAAATAGAACCATTACACTTATTCTGTGGTGAATCTTTAAAAAAAATCCTGTTTCTGGCATTTCAATATGTTTTTTAAAAGTGCTCCAAAATTACTTTAACCATTTAAGCACACCCAACTACAGGTTCTATAAGTCAATGTATTACTAAAAAGTTAATAAAAAAAAGTTTCTATTAAACTATAAGTACTTTTCTCATCTGTATAATCTGTTTGTAAAATAATCTATTATTGTTCAGATTAATGACATTTCACTTAAGGAAAAAAATTATAAATATGTATGCTAATACAACACCTTATAACTATTAAAAAACCCAGAGTTATTCTAAGCAAAGAAAACACTTCCATTCACAAAAAGAATCAATTTAAAAGCCAAGAGTCAAGAAAACTACATTTTTTTCTTTAGGTTGGCAAATAGCATAAAAACTTTAACTTCATTAGATGACATTATGCCTGACTATTAAAAGCAAACAAAAGAGGTTTGTATTTTTGATTAGTGTGTCCACAGTGGAGAGGGCACAGCCAAATTAAATGACTTTCTTCAAAAAAAGCAAAAAATGTAATGGGAAAAAATGCAACACGCTTATACTCTCAAAAAGATAAATTATCTAAGACTAAGTTGTTTTATTTTTTAATAGTAACTTCAAGGTAAATAGAGTTAACAATCCAATCCAAAAGTCTTAGGAATAATTATGTTTTGTGATTTA